CAACATAACTTCTACAGTTTCTTCTACGAAGCAATTGCATGAAGAGTACTCAGTTTCTCTTAAATGCGCTCATCGCAGTGATCTGCGGTGGAGTTATTTTTTCAATTGGTGCTCGAGCTTATGGTATAGGAATATGAATCCACATAAATGATTGTGATAGCATTCGATATACATGTATATACAAAATCATTAATCCACAAATATTAATTGAAACACTAAATGTCGGTTGAAAAACCAATGTCGCGACTTGAAGGAATACTGGCATAATGACTTACAGTTATGTATATTGGTTGGACAAGATTCCAATGTACCTCAATTTTGTTTTAATGAATCCATCTGTCGTTTTTCAATACCTATCGAGAGAATGCAATGAGAACACGAAGAGCATTATTAAGTTCGGTGAAAATGTTCCAAATTGAAATGTAAACCTTCCAATCTGTTAAAGTATTGGGACTGGAAATTATTGTGCAGAGCCATTTTTATTGTGCAAAACAATCCTATGATAATATCTTGTGAAGATGTGGAAGTATTAATCGTACACAAATATTTTCAAATTCACAAACTTATCAGCTTTACAAATCTGTATCTCATTGTCTTCTTCTCTTTTTCCCTTTCATCATGTCATTCTCTTTTATTTCTTCTTCGTCTTCTTCACCTTCTTCTCCTTCTCCTCTCTTCTTTTTCCCCTTACGCTCTAACTCCTTGATGTGACAAAAGTGCTATGTGTTGTAGCCTAAATATAGTACTTTTGTTAAGTTTGTTATAGTGAATGGAATAAAATAACCATTTTCCTTCCGATACCGTCCAATATTGTTACATGGAGCACCTTCCTTTTTTTCCAAGGAAAACTAATTTATTAAATTAAGTAGGGTCTCCGATGAGAATAATTCAATAACTCTTTGGCAGTGAGTGTGGGCGTGTTGATTAGTCATACAAAGGAAATGTATTTTTAAATAACATCTGGTATAAAAGAACTAGCTCGGACTTCTACCAGTGAGCACGCAGCAGGTTTGCTTTTAATCTTAATAGCAAACGAACTCCACTGGACATGCATGTCGTGTTTCTACAATGTATATATACAATTAATTAATCTAATATATTTTCTGAAGGTATGCCTGTGCGATGACGACCCAACATCGTTAACTTGTTGATAATTGCATGTATTGGTGAGGCTCACAATATTTGAGAGCAGAGTCGACTTATTCCTTTAGAAATTGTTATCTTTAAAATATGATATGTATACGTAACTTTAATGGTTATCTGCGTGACTTTTAAGTCAAAGAAAGCAGCAAGTGCGCTTTAGAATAAACGCACACACACACACACGCGTGCGCACACGCACACGCTGATATCTAATCACACTTGTATCAATGTACAATAAATTCACTAACAGTTTCACGATCAAAATGAATCGTATAACTATAATATAATGTATTAGATAAAGGTCAGCATGGTAAATTCACTACAAACTGCGTTCATTTTCTTACTGGATATCTGAAATACAGGGTAATGTGATTTTCTCCGATTGACTCTAAATCTTCCGACGGAGCGGAAAGACCATCGCAAAATATTTGCATTTCCTAAGGAAATGTATGTGAGCTCCAAAGCGTCCACTTAGACTTTCGATTTTAGTTTAGAATGAAATGGTAATGGACTTGCATACAAAGTGGCTGTAGTATGCAACGTAATGGAAAGCGAGGAGGGTTTTTTTTTCTTCTCCTGTCATTGATGTCCCCTTGTGACGTTACTTCGACTAATAAAAAGACTCTGGCTCGAATCACTTGACATGTCTTTTTGTCTGTCAGGTCACTCTTCTTCTAGTGATGTGAGCGGAAACAAAAGGTCAATTTTATAATTGAGGTAAGATGCTGAGAATTAAACAGTAATTACGAAGAACTAGCCGTATATTAGGAGATTTCTGTGAGTAAAGAAAATTCAAATGAATGTTATGAGGCCTGTTGACCGCAAATGCAATGGTTCATGAATTGCCCCCCCCCCCATGAAGTCACGCACACATACATGCACAACAAAAATCAACAAAATATTTCTAATAATGTAATATGCACTTTATAAATCTATAAATTGAAGTAATATAATTAATGGCCTATTATTATTAGTAGTAGTAGTAGTATTACTTATACCGCGGTTTTCCCATAAGGCCCAAAGCGCTTACAGTAAATATCTTATACTTTAACAAGATGTGTTTTTAAGGCCTTTCTGAAGGTAATAACTGATGGAGACGGCCTAATTGTAAGTGGGAGATCATTCCAGTATTTTGAAGCAGATACAGTAAATGTCCTATCACTGGCTAATGTGCAGGTAACTGAATATGTGAGACGGAGAGGATCACTGGCTGACCTCAATGCCCTGGTAGGTGTATAAATTCAAACAGGTATCTAAATATTGTGGAGCTTGATTATTGAGTATTTTGAAGACAAACAAGAGCAATTAAAAAAAAATAGGATGAACAAGGCCATACAACTATAATCTCTGTAATACTATTTCAAATTGTTGCCAATGGTTTCTTGATTAAGCGTTTTCTTTCGTCATGCATTGGCAGATGACGGTGTTTTTTTTTCTCCATTTCATGGAAAAGGATGATTGGGTCACGATACAGTCATGTTGCGATGTCGTTGGAAAATAAACGTCAACCGTTTTACTACATCAGATATGAACCATGTGGATGGGAGAAGTATTGTTTGTCGATCGGAAGACCTTTCTATTTTTATTGAAAGTACGTGATTGCCATGACAGCCTCTGCATGTGCACACATGGAAATATAGCGTATATATCGCATTTTAGCATATCTGCATGGAATAACAGCTAGGATATATACATAACAAGGAGATGCATTTTTCCCGCCGTCTTGCTTTCTCTCTTTCTCTCTGTCAGTCGATTCCACTGTCGTATGTTCCTCTCTTTCTCTCTCTCTCTCTCTCTCTCTCTCTCCCTCTCACTCTGTCTCTCTCTGTTTCTCTCTCTGTCTCTCTCTTTTTATGCTTTCTCTTTCTCTCACTCTTTCCGCATTTAACATTCAGTTTAAAAAAACAGTTATGTTTCTTTGGGTATTCATGTACAAAATAAAATAATCAGTGTTCACACTTTACAGGGTAAAGGCGGAATTTGACAAAAGCACGAGGCTTGTGACGAAGCCCCCATAACAGGACAATTAATTACATTAGTTTATAAGCAAAACACAATCTGGAACATGCACTAGAGACTATGTTTAACATAAACTATACATTTCAAAGTACAAGTTAATGGAGCGAGTGAAGACATGCTTTAACAGACTCATTCAAATCAATTTAGGGTTTGGGATCAGCAAGACGAATATTTTAGGTTTAATATGTTTACTATGACTGTAATACGACAGAGGAGAGGGTAAACCTCTCTCTCCTTATACCATCATGTGCACGCATAATGTCTCATAGTTTATGCGCTTAATTTGGAGAAGCGAGTCTCACTCATCCGATATAAATCAAATAAAGCTTCTGGCTGGGCTGACATTTAACCTATTAACCCATATCCAACCGTGATTCCATCCGCAGTTGCTCTGGAATGCCAGTTTGAGTTTGTAATTACCCTTCTTCTAACTGGATGTGTATTCTATAAATCTTGTTATCCTTGCCAAGATACGACGATGAACCCTCAGGCGCCGTGATACGTCCTCTGAAACATATTTTTGGGGGAATGATTGATAGGGTGCAAACAGCGCCAATTATTCTGGAGGTCCAGAAATCCTGGGGGGTGTTTCATCAAGCTGTTCGTAAAGTTACGCATGACTTTACGAACGACTTGTATATGAAAAGCCAAATGGGATGCTCAATCATTATTAAATACATCAAATAAAGTTTAACTGTGCAGATATAGATTAACATTCTTATGATAACAAGCATTTTTAATGCAAAGTATATTTTTTTGCCATAATTTAATTAAGGTTATCGAAAATATCAGAAAAAACTTTGGGCGTCCTATCTGGCACTTCATATACAAGTCGTTCGTAAAGTCATGCGTAACTTTACGAACAGCTTTATATAACACCCCTGGGCTGGAGGAATGCGGATTAGACACCATCCAGACTTAGAAAAGAACCCTGTTGGAAACCTTTTTATTTATTTGACGTAATCTTAGGCTGATGTGAACTTATTGTTGACATAAACATCCCGATCAACAAAAAAAAAACAAAAAAAGGATAAAAATTGCCTCTCTGTTTCATTACCTTATCTTCTAGAATAAGTAGCACGTTTCTGCCGAATTATAAAATCATGCGGCTGTCGTGTCATCAGAGGTGGAAACGTTGGATTACATTAGCTTAATTAAGTAATTTCTTTCAAATCTAACAATCCGACTGTTGCCCTACTGCAAAATTATGTTAACCGCTTTGATTAATTAGGGAACGCACTTTATCTAATTTTCCATCGCTGCGCTAAAATCAGAAACTGGTGTTTTAGAGAGAGAGAGAGAGAGGGGGCGGAGAGATTAAGCTATAGATAAATAGATGGAAATAGTTAGAGATAAACAGAAAGAGAGATAGAGAGAGAGAGAGGGAGAGAGGGGTGAGAGAGGGCGAGCGAGAAAGGGGACTGTGTTAGAGTTGGAAATCAGCATGTTAAATGCTGCTGAAGAAAAACTAAAGTCTGCCGAGAACGATCGATAGAGGATTGTGATTAATTTTAGTCCTAAACATTGTGAAATTACGAACAATTAGTTATGTTGTGTTTATGTTCGTTTATCAAAATGATTAAAAAGCTTTGTTATAATTATGTTTCAGTATGTAAACTAGGACTTTGAAAAGGGCTGTGCTTCCATGTTATATACTAAAAGGAATGGGATTTTGAGAAGTAAATTCAATTTATTTAAAAACAAATGCACTGTAACAAGATGTGTCATTGCATCAGTTGAGATAACCACTTAAAACTCATGTTCAGAATATTTTGCGTACCTTTATTTTTCTGTGTCTTTATTGTGACTATTAACTTATTATATTTCCTTTCTTACAGAGAATCGTTCAGGCGGCCGAGGAAGGTTTTCTGAATCATGACTACGACAATGCAACAGAGGTGAGATTTGAAGGGGGGAAAAAGATAAAATGATATATGTAAGTGTGCACATCTTAAAGACATATTATGTGAATCAATGACCTATATCATGTTTGCTTTTGTATGACAATTTATTTCAATTTGAATGACTTTTACTTTTACTTGATCATTTTTTATCCCACGAAATTATTAAGGCATACACGATTTAATCAACCAAAATTCCTGATAATACACTTCGTAAACATTATGATTTAATGAACAAAATGTTAAAGTGATATCTAAGTTTAGCAATAAAAATCCTTCTTACTGTGATTTTCACATGCACAACTTTTCTCATATAAATGTGTTAAATAGAAAGTCAGTCTAAATAAAGAGATGTTCTATTGGCAGAGTTATCTTAGACCGCAGATCTTTTCCAAAAGACTGCACATCTTTCAAAGGACACGTTCCCTCCGCTTAAACCGGAAAGAGGAGGTTTGAAACAGGTTTCGCATTTCAGGGATGTCTAAAAGTAGCTTCTAGAATGACACTATATAGTAGAGTGTCAAGTTTGTGGCTTCTTTCACACTTTACTACGTAACATAATCCTCTGTTGTATGTTTCTATACATGCCCTTTGGAAAAACAATTTGACGTGAAGTCTACGAGCAAATATGCATAAAGATCGAGAGGAATATGAGCGTAATATCAAACCAGATTATTTTATCCTATTGTCTATTTTTAGCCTTGATATTTGCAGATTTGCCATTTAGTTTTGCTGGAAAGAGAGTGACGAATTAAACTAAACCTATATAGCCAGCCCCTATCTTCTAATTTTTCTCTTTAAATAATGTATTATATTCTAGTCAAATGTATAAACGTACCTTTCAAACATGTTGTAATTCGACGGATAAATAATATCATTACCGTGATCATAATTATACATAACTATTTAGGACGTAGATATAGTGGATGTTGAAAAATATGTAACCTGTGAGTGCAAGCATTTGGTATTTCCGATGATTATAAAGTATGTCTCACATGTTGTTTGATTTGTCAGTTTAGTCATTCCCTTTTCCATTTTACGTTTAAATCTGCCTTCAAATCAATCGGTTTTTACTCTTGAAGACGAGGCAGAAATTGCACGAAATACACAATTACGTCAAGGAAACATCCATGTACTGTATTCCAGACTTGTAGACTAGCTTAAATTTGAGCAGATAAACAACAAATATAAATCCGATAATTTGGAATACGGCTATCTACATAAATATTCATTAAGGTTTATGACGTTAATTGGCAAATTTAAGCCGTTAAATTGGCCATGCATGGGTCAATTTTTTTTACTTAGTCATCTTTCACAGAAATTTGGTCTAAGAAGTTACATCTGCTAAAAACGATTTTAACTGATGTTACATTAATAAAGCGTGTACTTCTTATTTACTTTTAATATTTCAACACTTAGATGTAAATTCAACGGTTTAAAGTAGGGGCAAATGATATGCACTGTTCGAGTAGAGCTTTTCAGGTTGAAAGTGACATAACATTGTTTGTAAAAATGAAATAACCTGTTATCAAATTTTTCAGATGATCCTTATTTCCAGTTTTTGTCAATTTTTGTTAACAGTTCACGTACTACAATGCAATACTTATAAATTCGAATGCTACAACGAGCCCGGATTTAGAGAAAGATATCCGGAAAGACCTGGACGTTACACCGGATTCCCATTTTGAAAACATCCCGATCAACACTTCTATTGCAGCTATTCAAGTGCCAACTAACGTGTACAATCAAGGTAAACAATCAAGTTTACAAGTCATTTATATCTTTAAGATGGTCTCAAACAGACCACTTTTTTGTTAAGAAAGCGAGAAAAAAGGAGACTTTTAGTAAACTATTAGTGGAGCTGATTTTCATTTAGTTCATATTGGTCTGCATTCTACTTACTTTAGTCAGTTAAACCTGACACTAGATCTATAAAGGAAAAAGTTAGTTTTCAGATTAACTTCCTTCGTTAAACCCGTTTTTAGGACAAAAGTACTAAGCTCAGCGTCGGGTTTATATTTTTAGTAGTATACGGGCCATGGAGTTGTGGAATCGATGAATCAGGGACGCATCTCAGATTAATGAGTAGCACAAGTCCGCAAACTCTACAAGCAAATGAAAAGGGGCTTCCACAAAAATGCGGGCACTATGGGGGTACATTATTTTGTGTTAAAGGGCCACTTTAACCAAAACGGGCTGAAAAATGGGGGGGGGGGGGGGGGGAATAGACATGTAGATTAATTTTTGACGGAGATTCCGAACATGACAATGATTTTTTTTCGAAATCATCAATAATTCTGGAATCTAGCTTTAAAAATGACGACTCAGAACGTTCAGAGAAAAAGCCCAGTTTCGGAGCTGTATTGCGCAATCGCATATGACGTCATGCAGGAGACTTCTCGGTGAAAATGAGGGTGGTTTAGGCATTAAAATGTAAAAAGGCAAACTATGATATTAATTGGAGGGAAAAAAACATTTATCCAGTACGTTACTGGCAATTTCGTCATTCCTAATTATGAATTACAATGAGATTTTAAGATCTTTAGTAGCAGGACAAAACGGACCTTCCCGACATGACGTCGAATACGTCATCAAGCCACGTGACCGTATTACCCTTTTTCGAGGGGCGTAGCCAGCAAGCGTGACATCTGTGAAAATTGGATGGTTATTATCATTTTTTGGTCAATTTAGATATTTTCTGAAAAATGAGAGGCTGAAATATTGATAAGTAGAGGTGTATTCAGGTTTTGAAAGGCTATGTTAGTTGGGTTAGAGTGGCCCTTTAAGAGAGGCCCAGGCTCCTTGTCACCATGGATCCGTCAATAAGCACTGCGATTAACTATATTTCGTTTTGTAGTCGTCATCTGCAGAGTATTATAGGCTTGTCATGGAATATTCATCTATTCAGTTCAGCTTATCTATAAGAATTATGCTTAGAAATATGTTTCATATTCATCATATGTATTACTGTAAACGACTTCCACTCTTTGCAGCTCAGTATGGCCAATTTCCCTCCTTTCTTATAGGTACTGAAGTGCTGAATAGTATTGAAGCCACGGAGTTGTTAGACACAACCTATCGGGAAAACTACCAAAACGACCCGACTCTGACCTGGCAATTCTTTGGCAGCAGAACAGGCTACTTCAGATTGTACCCGGGTGAGTCGTAGATCTTATGCTACAGTTGTCTCTTGGTAATCATCATGATCACACCAAGTCATTTGAATGCAAACTAAAGACACGATACATGAAAAGGAGGATGAGAAATCGAGAATCAGGGAACAATTATTATTACTGTCTTAGTAAGTTGTTGATAATTATAGGCCTTCGCTTCTCTAATCGTTCATTAATGTCATGAGGGCTGTAAAAAAGCAAGGCACGAGAAGAGCGAGTGATATCTGGGAAATTAAGAACAATATAAACAAACACAAATCTGTTTAGCAGGAAAGAGAGAGAGAGAAAGAGAAAGAGAGTAAGAGAGAGATTAATTTTAAGGGTGTGCTAAATTTGTGAATGTAGCGTATGATAGAGCAGGGAGATGATAAGACAGAAGAGGAAGCTATAAAAATTTCTTCCCAGTTTCCATAGCAAGGCCAAGAAATAAACAACAAACATCTCCTTTTCAAAATGCTTATACCTACGCTAAAAGGAATAAAGAATGATTATAACAATCGTTGTCATATCTACCCCTTTGGCTTGTGATTTATACCTCATCAGGGAAGCCCCATTTGCCGTTTTTTGAGAACTTTATGCTTTTCTTATCACTGTCATGATGTCTCGCTAACAGATGGGAAACATCGATCACAAGTAATGCTGTTTACACTTATTGGTGATGTACACACCCGACTCTGATGTTAAAAGTGGTCGGTGAAGTAAAGAGTGCGCCTTTTCTGGTTTAAATTTATCGATGCGGGGAGAAATACATTTGGATACATCGGTCATGTTACTCGAAAATGTCATGCTTCTCTCTCTCTTTCTCTTCCTCAATTTTTCTTTCTCGCAATAAAGTGTGCAAAATCAGACATTATGTGATGTAAAAGAAAAACAAACAGAGGGAAAAGGCCAAAGCGGTTTTTAAAGAGGTTACAAAACCAAAGTGTGTCGGAAAAATAATAGAGGAAAAGGAAATTTAAATGTTGCACTCATGTTCACCCCCTCCTATATGTGAATAAACGGGATATCTATGTTAATCTATGTTTGATTCAGATCACAGCCCCCTCCCCCAACAATATCGCCTCATCGTAGAACTGTTGAAGAGGTGCATAGAATCGGGTGCCCCCAAAAAAATCTTTATTCTGATTTTACTTTGTCTATCTCTAATCTTAAAGGCCCACTGTGCTACTTGTAGCTACTTGCTCCCTCTATATAGAAATAATGCGTAATCGGTGACCATTGGTCCCCCATGATCCTCTTTTTCTCATGTTAACTGAGAGCTGAGTTGATAAGATAGCCACCTGTCAGTGACCTTCATGTGTGGTATAATCCCTCCTAGCCAAACTAGTACAGATAACCTTTAATAACCTTATTATTTGGAAAACAAGGGGGAAAGAACTATACACTTGACATCGAGGTAATCATTTACGACACCGCTCTACTGAGGTTATTCAGCGGCAAATGGCAAGGCTGTGAATTTCCAGCGGACAAAAATATATTTTCACTTTCCTGTCGTTGCTGTCTGATAAATATATTTGATCTGCACAGTAGAAACATTGACACAATAGATAAGTTTAGGTCTACCCTAAAATCATATTTTATTTCAATAGTTGTAAACAAGACAGTAAAAGGAACACAGTACCCTATTTTTCGCTTTGGTTTTTTTTTTTCTAAGCGCATAGGGGAGGTGCGATAGCTCAGTCGGTAGAGCAGTGGTCTCGTAATCCGGTGACCCGGGTTCGAAACCAAGACGATGCACTAGTGCCCTTTGGTAAGGCATTAATCCTCACTACCAGGTCTCTCGGAGAGGACCTAAAGACGTCGGCCGTCTGGTTGATTACTTACAGGGATTTATGCTTTCTTAGCAGTCAGCTAAAATAACCATCACATCACATGTTTACTTTGTAATGTGTAATTCGCTATATAAAAATGGATTATTATCAGAGGCCGATGTTTGTTTTCAGAGGAAATTAACGTCTTTTCCCGCTCTTAATCAATCGTTTCATCGATGACAGAACGAATGAAGTGTCTCTGAAATATCCCCCTCTTCCAATATTAACAAGCTTGAGAAAGATCATTGGAAAAATGTCTCTTTCTTTCTCAGTCAGGAAGAATATGATCCTAGTAATACCGCGGAACAGGATTACTCTCCAAACATATCAAATACCCTTTTGTTTGAAATATGCCAAGAAATTAATGATGATATATTTTTTTTGATGAACACAAATATCAAGCCTCATGGGTGCATAGTCCCATGTACTAATTTCTGTGTGTAATCCACTGTGAATGCCATCAGGTATATGAGTCAGTTCTTTTCATTTTGATCATTCAAAAGCCTTACAGTAAAGATCAACTACTAGCATTCAGACAGTTTCCTTTCACGTTGTAAGCGCGTGACAAGTATACTCATCTTTATCTTTTAAGTGTTGTATCTTGAGGAACATTATCTGATGTCTGTTTCTGCTCCATCGTCTTCAGAAACTCACTTTCCTTTGCTACCTTGCACTTCGCCCCTTCACATTTGCCGTATCTCCAAGTAGATGCAAATAATACATGAAATATTGACCAAGACTCGCGGTGGAGCGGTATTCAATCAAATTCCCTGCGAATCTTGCGCTCTTAATATGACATACGATAGGCACAAGATCTAATCGGTGGAGAGTATATTTATCAATTATTTATGTGAAACGTTATGATTTCGTTCGAGCTTGCAAGCGGAGTTTTGTTGCACATGGATGAAAAAGGCATTGATGGAATTTCTATAGACTTCAAATTCGAATACACTGGAGAATTGTTTAGAATTCAACACAAACATTTATAATCGAACGTTTTACACCTCCGGTAATCACAGTAGGCACGCACTCTCTTAATGAAAGCTTTTATTGTTGTGCCTATAAGTATATACATTCGTGTTTCTTTAGTGCAATGTTCTTTCTTTTAACTCCGGTTTGATTATTTGTGTACATTAAGTAATTTCACTGGAAAATTCTAGTCGTTTAATTTCTTTTAAGAGAGTTAAAACTCCTCTGCATGATTTTGACAAACAGTTACTAACAGTACAAAAACAAAAGTTAGTCCCGGTGATAACTGAATTCTCTTTTTGCCATGTGCTTAATACATGGGCCACCAGGTTCCAGGAATCAATGGGTTAAATACATACACGATATGAATTGCAGTCATGACAGGTTAGAAGAAAGGCACGTCACTTCCTATCACTAAAATAAGAATTAAACTTGAACCAAATGGAAAAGTGTGAGAATGGTTAATATCAATTAAAAGATAGCTGGGATATAATACCAGTACATATTTTACATAATTATGATCTTTTATCAACTTGATTGTCTTTTTATAATGTTGCTTCTCTTCTTCCAATAGGATATAAATGGATACCGCCTCAGGAGAATCTCGATCTATACGATTGTAGAGTACGTGGATGGTAAGAACGATTACTGTTTTCAAATTCAAAAGCCATTGTATATTATGCGAGTGAATAATTCAAATTTATGGTTCCATCTGCTCTAATAACCTTGGGGTTGATATATTGTCGTGGTTTATGGTAATATAGGTTGCATTTGCAGGTATGAATCCCCTTAGCAATTATCAATTCCCCTTTTTTTTTCTTCAATGGATTATTAATTGAAAAAACCAATGTACATGCATTAATCACACACTTGCAATAATATTATGTCTCCCGATTTTCGTCTACTGCATTATTCTAATGACATTATAAGTGAGAAATTCAAACAGTGTTTTAAGAAAACTCGACCATTTTCTTGAATTTTGTCATGACTTAATGAACCGGTACACTTTGCACGTCATATGATACAATTCCTTAGCTCCTGGTAAGTTCAACCAGTTGTGTTCACGTGCTTTTTCCCTGCGGATAATATGATAGAAAGTGCACATTCAAAGCGAGGACTGTTGTACATGTACTTTACTTGAACCTGTTAGCAATTCTCTCAGTAAATGAAAATACTAGCCTCAGCGCCTTGCAGTGGCGTAAGTACATTTCAAGGATGGGAGAGGGGTGATTGCAATCAGGCACCGAGATTTCTTGCGTGAACACACGCCCCATAATCTAATGGACATGAATGTTAGATTTTTAAGAGGGAATGACTCGTTTTATGTCGTTCTAAACCTATTTTTAGTATTTGAATGCCATTTAAAGGCATTGTTTAACAAAGTTAAATCTAAGATTCATGGCCCTACGTGTTATCAGTGTCTGTGATATGGTATAATATTGACGCCCTAAAAAATTGATCAAAATGATCATGAAGTGCCTCAAAAAAGTAAAAATCTTTGAGTGACCGGTTTTACCATACTCATTTTACCCAATAGACTGTAGTATTTATAAATTTCGTTTTCCAATCATAAATATCTTGATAATCAGACAGGCGACCGGCTTGTAAAAGTCATGGTTTTCTGACTGGTTTATAAGGTTTATAATTATCATTGCAGCATGAGCTAAATCGAGGATTTTGTTTCAGAATCTGAGACAAAGATACCCTATCCCTTTAACGACAATTTGTCACTACCGTAAAAGGCACTTATATCATAGACCTACTACTCTCTCTAAAAGAAAATGGTGTGATCACTAACGTGACTCCTCTGGAGAGTGAAAATGTAGTGAAAATAGAGTAAACATTAACTATTTTCTTAGCACTCTAAAATCAAACCATGTTCACTCCTAAACAAGTGATCCCTGACGTCACTCCCAAGAAAGTGAAAATACAGTGAAAATTCACATTTTTTAGAGAGAGAGTACGAATGTTGTCAATTTTTGAACAACTGATGGAATATTAAACTGATCCTCAATCATTAATTTTCTTTCAATGTAAAATGGGAAGGGGTGGGAGTTTTTTACCCCTATCCCCGGGATTTTCGCCCGTGGCGCCTTGAGACATGACACAACTTCGGCGATAGGGCATCAGGAATATGACGGTGAAGGTTGTGCATTTCACAGTTGTCTCCCCGGAGGCGCTTGATCTGATTAGCTTTGTAGTTCATCTGATACAGTATAGTAGGTCAGGGATGATTTAGAAGAAGAAGCAAAACTACTTTGAGTCTTTGATATTTGCCGTCCTGTGGTGATATTAAATGTATTCACTTGATTTCAGTCAAACCATATTCAGTGTAAAACTTAAATTATTCCTGGCTTTGTTGCAGTATTTTGTTTATTGTTTTTATTTTATTTGTGCCGTATATTTCGCTATAAGAAGTCATGTAATTTTTTTTTTAATGTTTGACACCGAGTGTGAGGTCTGCGAGTTTTTTAATCCTGGAAACTTTTTAACAGTTTCTTCTAGTGATTCATTATTAGTTTAGTCACCATGTATTACAAAATGCAATGAAAACAAACCCGGTTCCATATTGTGCACTATTATTCTATGGGAATCATAAGCATCTGAATTTATTATACAGAGCTTGAAAGAACGGTGATTAAGAGCGACATAAAATAAAGCATGATTTATCGATCCATGTGTTGCTTCTGGAAAGTTCTTTTCATTATTCTGTAATAATTTCGAAGCCTAGGTGGTGATTTTCAGCCATCAGGTAAATCTTGGGGCTCACCAATTCCAGATAAAAAAAAATAAGCTTCTTTTCTTTCCTATACTCACAATTTCTGTTTGAGCGAGAGCTAGGAAAAGCTAATGGATGAAATATTCAAAGTTCTCAATCCCTTCTGAAAAAATAAAAAGAAAGAGGAAAGGCAGGAGGGATGAAATTTTAAGCTTATACATTAGTTACACTAACTTGACAGGTTAAAAGACTTCTAATAGTCACTTTCATTCTCGATTTTAAGCTGTTGTGGTATTAATTTACTTCTCGTTTGCATACAATAGAATGTCAGCAGATTACAAAACAAAAGAGTTTATTCTTCGGGAAGCAGCCCAACCTAGCCTTAGTAGTAATGATGTATCTGAATTCATGGAAGAGTATAAGCCAGACCATTATTTCTGCTGAAGTGCCTTGATTCTTTACATTATTTTTGAGCCTGATAGCACCATCACTTTTCTGTCGAAGCGAAAATAAATGAGGGGGGGGGGGCACATTTTATTTTTTCATAAAAGAGTATGATGGAGGCTTTTATTTCTGCTTAATAGCACCATCACTTTTCTGTCAAATTGAAAGCAAATGAAGAGAATAAGTTAAATCCGGAGCCATTACATAGTCCCTATAAAGTATGTCACTCGAATCCATGCGTAAAAATGATATTCGAACATAATGTGTGATCCTATGCATGCATGCCATATGTATTTAAAAATAAGTATTTCCCAATCCAGAAGAGAATTGCAGGCATTTAAAAGCAATGTTAGCCCGAGCTGAAACGATATTTTTATGATTTGATATCAATCTATTCTTATTTTTCTATTTGTGTGCTATTTTGGGAACATGATCGTCGCATATTATCTTAATACAGGATTGGATTTGTGACTGCGATTCATAACTGCGATTCTTTGGAGATTTGATATAAAAGAATTGAAATAAAAGAGATTTAAACAAATCTTTTTTTTTTTAAATAAAACGATTCATGAAATTTATCCATTTATTGAAATAAAACGATTCATGAAATGAAATTCACCCATTTATTCTTTTTACATCCTCTCTCTCTCCCGCGTTCGATCTTTGTCTTTCTACCCCTCTCCCTCTCCTTTACTCCCTCTATCTCTCTCTCTCACACTTTATCTCTCTCTTTCTCTCTCTATTAACACCACAAGGTATGTTGAAGGGGCGACATCCCCTAAAGACGTGGTGATTTTGGTCGACATGAGCGGCAGCATGACTGGACTCTACGTCGAGATAGCCAAATACGCCATTAAAAAGATCCTGGACACATTTGGCGATAACGATTTCGTCAACGTCATCAGCGTGAGTGTGCATGATTATCCTGTTTTATCAATCTGAGGATAATAGTCATGATAATTAATTGCAATGGTAATGGAGTTTAAGATGATATTCATCACAGTGATATTCTGGCAATGGAATTGATCATCATAATCATTATCATATTGACATGAAATACGATGATAGTCATTGGAATATGGCCCTTTACGCACGATCTCCCCTGGAGCATTATATCTATATAGAGTTCAAGAGACACATAGCCTACCATCACAACTTTAATGAGCTCATAATTATTATTACTAATGGCATTTTCTCTTTCGATTATGAAATTCACATCACTGAACATTTTGATAGAACAGAAATATGATCCAAGAATAATCCCTTTTACAATGTAAATCACTTTATTATTTGAATATCTATTTTGTTCTATTCAACCCTCAGTTCAACGAAACCACCAAGTTTATTCAGCCTTGTTTTAACGATACCATGGTGCAAGCTACTTCAGATAACAAAAACGTAAGTTGAACATTTTCATTTTAACTACACCACAAATCTGAATGTTATTTTCTTATTCTGTTATGCCGCTACTAAAGAGTAGCCCTTATAGATGAAGCACTCTCCCCCTTCAACGATGCCTAAATAAAACCACCGCTGATTTAGAGTATACTTCCCAAGTCATATAATGAAATAGAAACCTCTACAACAAACAGGCTGGATGATGTATTTATATATGAAGGGACTCGCAGATAACTAGACTGTCGTTCTCCATTCTAACGCACTGCGACGAAACAACATAGCTAGGTACAATTGTCGAGTTCAATATCCGAAACAACCTGCATGATATTGGAACTCTAAATCAGAATAAAACCAATATATACTCGCAGTATAACGACTTGCAGGAAGGAGTCTGATCAAAGGCCTCATTTATCTTCATTCGTGAGCAAGGCTGTGGTAGAGAGTTCTATGGCCATATAGTCCGTCTTTGGCATCTTTTTTTTCTCGAGGGATTTACTTTCAGATTTTGATTAAGGTCCCTGAACTTTTGTGATGATTCGGTGCTGTCTGTAATGTATACATGTATTCATGAGATTTTGGGGTGTATATTAATTTGTTTTAATTTTTCACTTGTGATAAGTCGTGACCTTTTCAGCAAAAGAGAAGAAAATTAAGAAATGTAAATTATATTGTTTTCTACTATATGTGATTAATTATTTTCACGTCAATTTTATTGCATTCATTTCCACTCTCTTCGGCCCGCAGCCGTGGTCCCCCTGCAATTTATTCACAGGCTTTGTACATGTAGTATATCAATAATCCAACATTGACTTGATTCATAGCCACAAGAAGTCATCACTTTCCCTTTGCAACTGAAATATTTGTATTGAATGAATATATTATTATGTTATTCTAATTCACTCTTGTTCACTCTTACTAATTGGAATGAAACTAGTAATATCGAATTACTCCACAGGAGTGAGAAATCAATTCTCACAATGGATATAATTCAATCACTTTGGAGTAGATTTCACTGTAACTATTTGTGTGGGTGTGTGTGGGTGTGCGTGTGTGATCGTGTGAGTGTATGTGTGTAGGGAGGTTTTTTAAATTGAGTTTTCATAGACGTGTATCAATCAGAAATTATTATTTACGTCTGGGGACCGATCTTGACGCCACCATCCGAAAGGCGAAGACAAAGTCTCAACTATGAGTGGATTCAACTCCAAAGGGAATATATCTTTACTATGACTCCTAAAAGGTGGAAACCCACACCTCTACATGATCAATCTATTAATTTTAAAGAAGAGTACCCTTTTGTGTGTGCTTAATCCATTATTTTTGCATTTATTTCCAACTACAGTTGATTAAAGATGCACTCACTAGAACTGTCCCCAAACTGGAGCCGTACGGTATGGCAGACCTATCAAGAGCTGTGAGATATGCATTCAATTTATTGAACGATGTAAGCATCTTCTATTTGAGTCTTTTTTCAAAAAGACAATTGTAGGAAATTGTGAATGCGTGAATTAATGCATGAGTGAATAGATGAATGTATGAATGTATGGTTGACTGAATGAATGAATGTATGAATAAATGTTTGAATGATTTTTTTTTAATGAACGTATGTATGATTGATTAAATGAGTGAATGTTTGAATTAATTTAATGATTAAATAAATGAAATAAAGGAAAGGATATCAAATCACAAGACTATCATCAAGGATTATACATTGTTTTACTGTAATGTAACTATGAACGTTTTATCACACGATCACACACATAATATATATATACATAAATATGTTAAATTTGTATATAATGTTTTTTTAACATTTTTTTAAATTGTAGCTGGTGAAATAAAATAGGAAATGAAATGAAATGAAATTTAAAACAACATGATAATGTTTTGTAGCTCATTTGACAAGAATTTTTAAAAAAAATACTAGATGTTAAAACAATGACTGTGAATACAGACGGTAAAGTCATGAACTATGACTGTGACAGACACCCGTCGTTCCTCATGAGGGGTTAGGAATGATTGATTAAAATACAGATATCATGAACATCATCTTTACAGTAATGAAAATCCAGGCCTACTGGATTTGAAGTATGTGACATGACCAATGAAAATCGTGTTCGATATGCTTGGAAAGCTTGTTTGGGGGTTTAAAATACACACTGCACTTTTTAGCCAAAATTCATTCATTATTTTAGTTGATGATTGAACAACTGCGCAATATCAGAAAGTTGCAATTTCATTTATTGCATGACTCCAAAAGACTCATCTAATTTGATTGCAGTCTATAAAACCTCGACAGAGTGCATAACATAATGCATCAAGACGTTGGTCATTAAAGTTCCTAAGTTTAATACAAATTTGGATGTATTTTGAATCAGTTCATGAATCTTAAATCTGCTGTTTTTTTAAAACAGTCGTGTATTACAAGGACTTTGGCGACCATCAAGAACATTATTGGTGTATCTTACATTATTTTGAGAGAGTCAATTATTACTCTTTTAAAACATGTTTTGATTGCTAAAATAATATTAGTGACAATTTTTGAGGAGGTCCCAACATGATTGTTATCCCCATGATGAGTACAAAATCGAGTACAAAGTGGAATTGATTTGATACAAGAAATTGTCAAATTCACTTATTTTGCTCATCAATATAATTTATGATTTCCTTGATGTACCTTCTATTCATCATGTACATTACAGAAAAGTTTATTCGAAGCGAAGTGTCTCACGGAATGGAGGTAGAGATTAAGTGAAATGTGGTGATGCGATCCACATATGTGGAGATAGCAAGAAACAAGAGAGAGCGAGAGAGAGAGAGAGGGGGAGAAAGAGAGAGAGAGAGAGATGGAAAGAGAAGAGAGGGAGAGAAGAGGAGACTAGATAAGATACGATGGCTTGCAATCAGTGTTAGAATTCAAGGTTGATTACTTGGAGTGCATCAAGCGACCTTCTCTGTCTCTCTGCATTAAGTTTAACAGCACAAACCGTGGCTCTGAATGCAACCAGGCAATCATGATCATCTCCGATATGCTCACCGAAACAGCTGAAGACGTCTTCAAAGAACTCAACCCAAATCAAACGGTAATAGCATTTATAATCCTGAATTTTGCCTATAAATGAATAATCTGACACCAACATGTCTTTTCAATTTCACGCCGGACTTCAATCCTGTTTTTTTTAATGCTATGCTATTTTGCACTGATTGATCATGAAATGAGAAACTAATGTATTCCCCAACCCAAATCAAACAGTCATACGACTTCCGATTCTGATCTTCGGCTGTGACAGTGAAACTTGACCCCATACCTTGTCTTTTCAATTTCACGCCGGATATCACTTTTGCCTCGTATCCTGTCTCCTTCACTTAGATTCACACTCCATTTTTTAAATGACAATCTAATATAATCCTCAGCCAAAGTCAACGTTAACACAATAATTTCGATCTTGGGCTAAACTGAATTGTAATTTGATCGCTCTCCGACATCTCCAATCCCCTCCCACATGTCATTCCCGTATCTAACTATAATGTCTCATGTGATAATGAACTGAAAATCGAATGCATTATTTTTTGTGGCTGCCAAAACATTTTCATTCAGGCTGTCTAATGCATCCCCTGGAGTAACACATTTCCATCTCGCATTTCAAACATCTCCAATTAAAGTACCTTTTTCAAAGCATGAGATCGATATAGACATTGATGTTTGTATTTTCAGACAAGAGTGTTCACCTACCAAACAGGACGTGAAGTAGATGGACCTACTAATCTCATCAAGGTCGCATGTGACAATCGAGGTAAGACATCTTTGCTTGAAAGCTTGTTTCAAATATTATGGTGACAATGCAACTCGCAGCCTTTTCACACACAGCTAAAATTCTATAAACATGATTAGTTTAAAGGGCTTTAAACTAATCACCTGTACATACGACATCATTCACACAAAGAAATTTCGGTGCGATCGTTAATCGTTTCGTGATTAACTACTGCTCGTAAAATGCGTAGTAGTGCCATTGCGCATTGAAGGTCATGTCATATCAATCAAAGCGCACGCTCCATCCAGTTTAAACACGTTTAAACACGAATAACCGTTCACACACAAAATGTCAAGCTCTCTAGATACGAACTTCGTATCTGCAGCCTGCTTTTAGGGGCGTATGAAGCGCGACTTCGTATCTATCCCAACATCGTATAAACGATGTTCACACAGGGAAAATTATCTATAAACATGTTTAAAACTATTCAGTTAAACACGTTTACACTAATCATCTCGATGAATTTTAGCTGTGTGTGAAAAGGCTGTCGTAGTAGTAGCCCCAACCTTCCATCCCTGGAACCACACTATACTTCACCGCAGCTTTTAAACCTTACAACAATGAATCGTAGTCGCAATACAAACTAGTCATCAATATGGTAATAATGAATCGAGATGAAATTACTGAAGTATTGTAATTAAATCTAGTTTATCTGCATGATATTGGAATAAATCTCTGTCAAAGCGCGGTTGTATAACCAACGCTTACCGCGTTCCCTTAGTTGTGTTAATTATAAAGAAATTATACGATTCATAACAATGTTTTGATCATAAACAATATTAATCTTTGATATAAACCGTAATTTAGACAAAACACATTAATCAATTATTTATACACATTTTTTAAAAATTTGACTGAATAGGTTACTACACTCGACTAGCAACAATCTCTGATGTCGAAGAACATGTTACGGTGAGTACTGAGTCTTCTTCTAGCAATTTGATAATACCACATGGAGTTGACCTACTCAAAATGATGACTATATGATATATACATACATAAATACATACATACATAATTATTGATATTTATATAGCGCGATTAGCGCCTTTACATAAACATGCTCAAAGCGCTTTACATTAGTAACATAATAATTATATGCTCTCCAAGTGCATTACACTCTAAAAATAACAATTACAAAGAAAACAAATGAGTTTTTAGATATCTCTTAAATGATGCGACTGAGGTGCAGGACGAATGCTTAATGGGAGACTATTCAAACTAGTGGGACCAGAAAAAATTATATTTTCTTCGAATTGATGCGGGGGATTTGCAGAAGGAGAGGGTCTGACCCTGAGCGTAATGAATATCTAGATTGCTGGATGGGACAAAACAGACTAGAAATATAGGATGGGATAAGGTTATACATGGATTTATAAACAAATAGTGAAACTGTATACATTATTCTCCAATGAACAGGTAACCAGTATAGTTGTAGATATATATCTATGTAACCTTACCCGTCCTGCGTCAGCAAGTAGTACATCATACGAAATGTATACCATGCAAAATGCGCTAGTTTATTAGTCATTCAAAATGTTGAGTTATAGTATGTCTCTTTATTAGTGGGTAATACTATTCTCTCTTTCGTGTCTTCAATATAATATAAAGTTTGTTCCATTCAACAGTAGTGTAGTATATTTTTACTCCAATAGAAAAGATTTTTATGGTCCAAACAGCTAATATACAATTCATCGAGAAAGGTCAATTGAAATTATTCTTGGAAAGAGGAGTGCGTCATTTCAAGTCTTTATGATAATGTAGATTTGCTTAGTTGGCGATTAGTAAAAGTATTGATATGTATTTTATTATTTACAGAGTTATCTTCATGTGCTTAGTCGACCGATGGTGAATAAACGACTTCGTAAAACCGTCTGGAGTAGCGTCTATTGGGATGCCTTAGTAAGTATATCATTCTATCGATCAAAAGGGGAGTAGGTTCATGATCCGTCCAATCAAGATAATTATGATTAGAAATAATACGTGGGAATGCTAAATTTTAAAAGATATACATTTCATTTGACGATACTTTCGTTGCAATTTCAGTACGACTACGAATGGAGTGATATGCGTCAAATATGACTTATTTATTTACAGATTTTTAAATTAATTTTTAATTGAATAAGATGAATATGCAGACCCTTTTATACTTTTGAATGGTACATAATTATACAAAGTTCCATAGTACTGAAAAATAAACGAATGAATACACTCAATGTTTTTGATATACCTAACACATTTGCTATCCAGAAATGTATGATGCATAAAGTATATGTTAGCTATGACATAACATCACATCTTGATTATAAATTATGTCATGACTTTTGTTTACATCACAGGGTCTTGGTTTGACATGCTCTGTATCTCAACCAGTCTTCAACGTCAAAAACGAAACGGTAAGATAATAGGGACTTTTAGATTCTGCACGACGAGAACGTGGACTGACCTTTTAAGGCAATGTGACGTCACTGCCAGTGCCTTAAAAGGACGTACCATTGCATTAAAAGGGCAGTCCACGTTCTCGTCCTCGTCGTGCAGAATCTAAAAATCCCTAATATCCATGCTTGACACTCTTACATTCATGTACAATTAATTTAATTTGTATAGCACGGACTCAATTGATCAATAATACGTGTTTTTTTTTTCTTTCTTTTTTCGCCATTTAGTTGTTTTGAATTTTACACTGATTACCAAACTTCATGTGATAAATAAATAATCCAAACAGATAAATAGACATTTACATATTTATTTTGCTATTAAAATAAAGTCATAACTGAATTGCATATTGCTATGATTAAGAAATATGCGTAACATAAGCATGACACCTTTACAAGACATTAGTGATAAGATAATAATAAACCCAAGTTAATAGCTTAATCACCTTTTCATTTTTACTTTATTGGTTGTCGGTTGAGTCAGTTTTCTTAACATTAATATATCGTAAATAACACATAGCTCATATTCGGTGACTAGTTATATATACATAGTCCTACTTCCAGACGAGTGTTCTTCCATGGGGTCCTATAATAATAAAGATTAATGGCCTTTTTGGAAAATGTTGTTTAATTACCTCTGAACTATACCATCATCAGAGTGTATTCTATCACACATTTCTGTTGTCTGCCTCTGATTTATAAGATCATAAATGTGTAATCTAAAACACCTTTTTTCTATTTCAGTTTTGTTGACATTATCAACACTTGAAAAGTGATAAAATGAATGGCCCTTTTGGAAAATGTTGTCTGCCTCTCATTAGAGTGTGGTTTATCAAACTATATTTGCTTGACCAATCTTATGCCTTCATAGATGTTGTCTTCACAACCTTGCATGTGTTTCTTCTTTCAGATGGACAAGGGAATTCTCGAAGGAGTAGCAGGATGCGATGTTCCCATCAAGGAATTGAAAAAGTTTACCCCGCCGTTTAAGGTAAACCTCAAATAGATATATAAACAAACTATAGAACAGTTCATTTTCCTTTAAAATAAAAAGGCTGGGAAGTCACGTTCATGACTTTTACAATTTTATAAGATGCAACCAACTAAGCAATTGTCCTCGGTGCACAAAAGAGCTACAGCAAATCGCATGTTGTATTTAATATAAAATCGGCGTGAGCCTGTCAGAATCCCCCTCTTAACGAGTTAGATTTTTGACACTGATTATATCGGCTCGTGTTAATCAGGACTCCTTTTGAATGCCATTTTTCCCCATTGTATAGTTTTCTGCGATTACATTCCAAGTTGCTATGCAAATCAATTCAAAACCCTATTCTAAATTCAAATGTCAAGAAAACTAAGTCAATGATTTTTAGTAGAACAGAGAATAAGCCTAGAATATGTTTGAAACTCGATGGACATATCATTAAGCAAGTCAGTAATTACATCTACTTAGGACAAAATATCACAGATGATGCCAGATGCGAAGCAGAAATAAAAAGAAGAATAGAAATTGCTCGGAATACATTTCTGGCAATGAAAGGATTATTCATAAATAGAAAGGTGAAATTTGCGCTTAGGTTGAGACTAGTAAACTGTTATGTATGGCCTGTCCTACTGTATGGAGCAGAAACATGGACAATAAACAAGACCATGGAAAATAGAATAACATCTTTTGAAAAGTGAATCTACAGAAGAATGATGAAATATCCTGGAAACTAATGAAAACCAACAAAGAGATATTGCACATGGCAGGGCGTAAACAAATTGCACTAGTAAGATTAGTTAAGGAGAGAAAAGTCAAATACTGTGGTCATGTTAAAAAGCACCAAAGCCTCTTAAAGGATGTATTGGAAGGAAGAGTGGAAGGAAGTAGACCTAGAGGGAGACCCAGAATCAACTGGGAAGAGAATGTCAAGAACTGGAGTGGACTAAAACTGCAAGAGTGCACCAGAATGGCAGAAGATAGAATGAAATGGAGAGATGTTGCAATCAACCTCCGAACCGGGAGAAGATACTCAGATAGATAGATAGATAGATTCTAAATTCAAACCAAACCTTAACCCTAACCCTTACACTAAGCTTGTATATTTGACAATATGGAGCCCAAAGCAAATCTTGACGGAGGAAATGTCGAATCACCTTTTTGTGCTTTGTCATGTATTGTAATAGTAGAAGAGTTGATGTATTGATTTTCGTCGAGCAGCCATTAAAATTTATAGGGAATTTACATTAAAATTCGATTCAGATTGTGTCACCAACTCATTATTTATGAAGGCTGAATATGGTTTGTGCAGTTATGTATTCAAGATAACACTCAACCGCAATAAGGGTCTGAAGGTTACACTCTATATTCATAATGATAATAATAATAGTGGATTCTGGTATAGCGCTCATGTCAGGCACGTTTCCACTCCTGACGCTCCATTATTATTACCTTGGCTATAGCAAGGCTGCCATTACAGCGCTCGAGTATTTCAAGGAATTAATTCCTGCAAGGTACCCATTTATCTCACCTCGGTGGAATGTGGCAAATGTAGATTAATGTCTTGCCAAAGGACCTTGGTGCCGCGACGGGGATTGGAACCCCGTGGCTCGTGGTTCACGGTCTGAAGACGTATCCACTCTACACTGTGAACAATTTGGGCAATATTTTCCAACACATTGCCCAACGATGTGCCATAGTCAACCCAACCATCTATTGGGCAAATTGTTTCGTATTTTGCCCAACAGCTAGTCAAGATTTTCCCAACAGGTGGGCTACCGTAGTCAGGCAGCTGAAGGGTCATATCTTTGTCCAAATGTTGGTCAAAATACGAAAATATTATGCACGTGTGAAATAGGGTACTTACGTGTGGGCAAAATATTGCCCAATAGATGATTGGGTTGACTATTGGCACAACGTTGGGCAAATTGTTGGAAAAATATTGCCCGACCTTTTCACAGTGTACCACAACACCTTTACATCATAATTGATGGTGAAAATATTATATAGCACCATATCTCAAAATGATGTTATAAATAATAAACAAAAAGGCATATATTACTCTATACTTTACTCCACTCAATATACTATACTATACTTTACTACACCCTAGTATCCTATATAATATACTATACACTTTATACTGTACAATATCTATTTTCTAGTCTCGACAGACGTCCTTTTGGGAAAGCAACGGCGATAGAGACACAAGTGTCTCATTGATTTTATTTCCCCATATGACATCATGATTTTGTATGATTGCGCTGATTATGATAATCACATTTTTCTTTAAAATTGCTGAGTACGCTAATCTCTATTTGAATAATTTCTTCCAGCTCGGTGTGAATGGATACTCGTTCGCGGTTACAAATAACGGATACATCCTCTTCCATCCGGAACTGAGATATCTTCATACAGATGGGAGTGTCAAACCGAATTACAACAGTGTGGATCTATCCGAAGTTGAATTATCCGATACTGACGATGTGGTAAGAAGTTAAGAACTTCATGATTTGATTTGATTGGTAACTTGATCTCCTTTTAATCATAATAACTTAATGCAATATAGCACTGCAAAATAATAGAGGTGGAGCCTTTAACAATTTGGTGTTGGACGTATTATTAATCATCAAGTTACACTGATTTTGGTGGAACACTTTACCAACACGGAAATCATATCTTACAGTTTAATCTTCTTCTTTTTTTGGGGGGGGGGGTAACTTTAAGCACTGATAAATCGTCTGTAATAAGATTTAAACAAAATTGTAGAAAGATTATACCTTTCAAATGAAAATTGGTTTGCTTCATCTATAAGCTTTATGACTTTGGTAAGCAAAAACTTTGAATTAAAATCAATAGAACCTAAACAAAAAGCAAGGCAGTATCAACTGGTAGTCATATATATTCTTAAACATGAAATATCGTTTTTTAAGATTTGTTGTGATTGTAATGTATAAAATAAACAGATTCCCCAATGTTATTATTTTCACACCAATGGCTACTATAGTCATTAAGTTGATGTTTAAGTGTCACCGCATCAATCACTTATTCTCCTTAATCAGGACATCCAACCGAGATCTTCGCAACTAGTTACGCCGATGGAGGTGACAATTTGAATGCCAAATTTTGAGTATTTTTGTATGGGTCGAGTACAGCATGCGAACTTGATTAACTGAAATAGTACTAACACTCCAAGGGGTATTTTTGATGTACTAATTCTCGACGCCAATCTAGGGATTGACCGTAGGGATTACCAATAGCTGGATGTGCTTGACCACTTCTGTTCATTATGCGCACAACTTCAGAAATTCGCTGGACAGGCTAGTTTCCTATAAACCATTCCCCACTTTTCATTTAAACTTCATAGAGACTTATCCCTCTCTTTTTTCCAAAACAAACGACGGGATCAGGTATTGCAAAAACACAAGCACAAAATCGCACCTTTTCGACTCTTTCATCATTCGCACTCTGATTTCCAATTCGCACTTTGATAAATAAGAAGTTGGGCAGGATATTCACTTTCATCATTGCCTCGTTTAGTCACTTTTAAGAAATTGGTGGGCATTTTTGTCCTTATTCATAGCATTCTTCTTTCATCAGAGTCTGTGAATTAGAGCTTCAAATTGCCGACAGAACTTTTCTGATTCGAATAACATTCCATTTTGTGTCCAGATGCCTTTCAAATTTTTTAACTTTAAGTTTGCCTAAAATGCAGGAGTATTTAGATACATATCACTGCATGGTTTTATCCCTAAACACTCCTGTAAGAAAATAAGATCTCTTAATAAATGCACTTTATTATCTTACTTGAATAAAGGGTAATCTCAAATCTAACACAAAATACATTTGATACGTTTGGAAGTGGGAATAACTTAGACAAATTCTGCACTGAGATTCCTCAACTCGTTCCATTAGCCCAATAGTGGTAAATAATGTATATCAGAAAATGTGAGTGAATACTAATGTCTAACACAATCAATGTTCTTGTTCCTTCCATAGCCTTGATGCTAAGATTATTAACCAAACTTTGACAATCTATAGGTTGACCCAGTTATATTAGAATGTATGCTCGTCTGTCTCTACATGTATTCAATGCAAATATTAATCCATTTTAGCCTAAATCATTATCAGCTTAGTCGTTTTCATATGACACGAGTTAACTTAACAGAGCTGGTAAACAAGGATGACTCCCTAACAGACGAATACTGTGTCCACTGAAAGATTATATAATCCACTTCTTGCTGTTCGTCTGCTACTCTGTATATAAAAGTTATTAGAAGTATACACTATTAAACACATATATCATTAACCAAAATAAAATAAACTATATGCATAATGTGTTATGTTTCCTTAGTTTAGTAAACTTATTAATACTGTGTACTCAAGTATAGGAGTATCCATTTAGCACGTACCTGCGAATTATTCATAAACAACAAACATTGCAACATTTTTCACAATATTTCCTGGAGATGATAAACCATTTTTACGGCTTTGTTGTACTCTATAGCATCGTACTTGTGCATAGCTAATTTGTCAAATAGAAATGATCCATCAAACTAATGCATGCTCGTTGAAATCTCAGTCGAAAACAATAATTGTTTGTACTCACAATATCGACTTAATTCGGGCTTTTCAATATCTTCATTCATCACTAGAAATTAATTTTATCTCTTTGAATAGTTTCATATATAGTGTGCCTGAATTAATGTTATTGTGTGATTACAATACGACACGCATGATTAATATTTTTAACAGGCAATGAACATGAATTATGCTGATAGTAACTGTGTCAAAGTTATGTCAGAATGACAAACGCCATTAGAGTGGATGTATGATGAATGTATTAACAATGATTACAATACATGTCCATGTACATCGTGATGTACATGTATTGTAACATAACGCTGAATGTACAGTATAACAATAGTAGGGTCCGGAATTGTCACTATTCGTGGTTTACGTGTGTTTCATTGACACTTGGAACAGTTAAATAAGTGCAGTATTACTTGTTTATATATATATATATATTTTTTAAGAATTCTGTATTTCAAGAAGGAATACAATTATTTTGGATCCTACGTTTGAATTATTGTTATATTCAGAAACAAACTGGACCTCAAATTTTGAACACGAATGTGACGCGTGAGCTTTACCATTAACGTTTTAATAGGTCCAACGAGGTACTTTGCTTTCCACCTTGATATATCATGGGTGGCCAATTGCTTGTATCTAAAGTCAAAGCTTAAACAGTGCTTAAACACTTTGAATGGGCCATGTCGGATCACAATGGGCGACAAATAAGTTGAGATCATTTAAAAAAAAGAAACTAAAGTTGCTATTTTACGATGGTCAAAGTTTCCAATAATAATATATGGAATATGCCGACGTCAATCAGGGTCAATTTTAACATGCTCAAAGCCCATCCAGGAGAGGTTCTAGACGAATCCCCCTTCACCCTCAACTCCCCCCCCCCCCCACCCCGGTCTACTATTGCATGAGCCCATCCTCATGCATCTACCAACGCCCGTGTTAGGCTTGCACTTATTAGCATTTTGGGGGTGTTGGTTGATCCGCTTGGAGGCATTGGGGCAAAAAGCTTTTAAAAAATGTGTCAAAACGTCCAAAGAATCTTGGATCCCCTACTGTGAGGACTGAGGAGTACAAAATATTCCTTAAATTTTAAAAAATTAAAAATAAAGAGTAAAATAAACATTATCTAGTGTAATATTTTATTCAATTTAGACAATTCAATTATTTTTTTTTCTTCATAATTTAATCATTTTTTGTTGTAATGGTTACATAGAAAATATGCCATATAACATAAACAATTTGTAATTATTTCTAATAATACAATCTTAAATGTCTTCTTCCATAATCATTTGCGTGTTACATAACGCATGCAGTGTGAAATTTGCCTTGATAAGTTGGTTTTTTTTCTCGATAAATTTGCTCTAATTGACAAATGTTTCATCGGTTTTTATTTTCTTGGTTAACTTGCTTTGTTTCTCTTAAAATTCATACTCAGTTTCGTCAAATCACTTTACATTCTGAATGAATATCTTGAACCATGGATGTTCATTTGGCTCAAGTCATGAAAGACGGTGTTACTAAATGGCAGATCTTTCTTGCCTTATTGATTAAAAATGTGGAGTAATTTTTGCATTCTTTTCTTCCCCATTCCCTCCCCGTAACTAGCTCCGTAATTCATTGGTTGACCGGGATACAGGCGGCGTTACCATGGAGATTAAGTACATGTTTGATGAGATGGTAAGGTTCCGCTATGATCGTCTTTACAATTTTATTATCAGCCGTAGCTATCAAGAGACATACTTTCTGAGTAGAAGCCACAAACGCAATGTGAATCAATGGAAGTGATCCGTGTTATATGTTGTGGAAGTAGAAATAGGAACATCTCTGTGTTCATCGAGGTTTACACGATATCCCGAACAGTAGGTTTGTGAACAAAAATTGTCTATTTTATTTCAAAGATTCAAGCTCGATAAAGTATGTTCAAATTACCTGTCCACTTTATCACATTTGATAAAATCTTAAAAGTCGATGATTAAAATTTTGGTCAATGATATGAATTTAAAAAAAAATTGAATGTCGAGTAAAGACAGAGAAGAAGGGCGCAGAGAAAAGGAGAGAAAATCACATAGTTTTAAAGTATATTTATAATTTTCTTAAGTGATTCTATATCTTATCCTTTTCAGAAAAGAGTCAGCATTCGTCGTAGCAAATATTACTTCACATTTTTATTCGAAACACCCTACAGGTAAATCTAAACTATGTTGTCTTAAAAGTTAATTCACACAAGTTGTAGTTTTCAAGTAATGAAGTTTGTAAAATAAAAAATAAATTATTTGGTATAAATTGAGTTATAAAACAGACAAATAATAACGGACCTACACATATTTATATATTGTTTGTGAGCAAAGCATTTTCTTCTCTCTTTGATCATTAATGATTGTAAAACCATTTTGTTTGTTGTGGATGTCATAAATATAAATACTTTTTCATTTTAACAATAATTTTCTATTTTGTTTCTGTATAGCTTGGGTATCTCTCTCCCTGAGGCATACGCTAGTAAACATCTGAAAACTCCAGCTACGTTTGACATGGAATCTTCAGGCAACTATTCAAGTGCAGATGTATGCGAAATACAACAAGGTAAGAATGTTAAAATTGAAATTCTCTGTGACTGTGAAAATTATATTACCTTGAGAAGCTTATGAGAAAAACCTTTTGTAAGGAAGTAAGCATATCAATTTTGGAATTAAAGACTCGATGTTATTCCATGGTGAATTCTAAAAATTACTGACATCTAAATTTATTTGCCGAAGATGTTTGCGAAATACAACAAGGTTAGCATGCTGACATTGAAATTCTCTGTGTAAAAATTATATTATCTTGTGAAGCTTATGAGAAATACCTTTTGTAAGGAAGTAAGCATTTCAATTTTGGAATTAAAGACCCGATGTTATTCTTAAAATTACTGCCATCTACATTTATTTGCCAAAGATTGAAAGTTAATTATTTAATAAATTATCGAAGATTATTTGTGATCAAATGTAACATGTGTTGTCTTTACAGCTGCAAGACTTTTATTTGGAGACGGAACGCTGGGGACAACAATTATTGCCAATTGGTAAGCAAAACCAGAGTTTTTTCAATCAGTTATACATTAATGATTATGAAAGAGGTTTCTTGAATAGCAGTCGAATTGACTTCTAATGGATATGTTATGCCTTATAATTATGTTACGTTTAGTGAAGTAA